TAATCATTATCATTATCATTATCATTATGCATTAATCATTATCATTATCATTATCATTATCAAGTTATCATTATCATTATCATTATCATTATCATTATCATTATCATTATCATAGCATTAATCATTATCATTATCATTATCATTATCATTATCATTATATTATCATTATCATTATCATTATCATTATCATTATCATTATCATTACTCATTATCATTAATCATTATCATTATCATTATCATTATCATTATCATTATCATTATCATTATCATTATCATTATCATTATCATTATCATTATCATTATCATTATCATTATCATTATCATTATCATTATCATTATCATTATCATTATCATTATCATTATCATTACCATTATCGTCATCATCATCATCATCATCATTATCAGCATTATTATTCATTCCTCATTATCATCTCTGTTGTCATTAATTTCTTTTATTGGTTTTATATTATAAATTTAAAGTTCAGGAAGCACCAGTCAGAATGCCCAAATATGTTTGTGTGTGTGCGCGCATGTGTATGTGTGTATGTGTGTATGTGTGTCGATTAAAGCAATTTTCCACATCATTGAATTGTGCTCAATGAGCAGGACGTGCGTCAATAAGGCAGCGCCCGCAGGATACGCAATACGAGCATAGTTTTTTGCACTTCTTTGCCTTCGACTTCTTCTTCTTTTTCGTCTTCTATTTTTTCTACTTTTTTCATTAAATTTGCATAATTAACCTGGCCTAAAAGCCAATTGTCGATTGCAACGCGATTAAATAACGTTTATTCAGCCAGTGCGAATCCGTCGATTCGAGTCGGATTCGAGCGAAAGAGCTAAGCGGCGGTTACCAATTGGTTAATGATTTAATTGTTGATAATTAATGAACTGCGATTCACATTAGCCCCAACAGCGCGCCATCATTAGCTGCTGCAGCTGGGACAGCGGGAAAAGAGCTTAGCAAATGCTTTCACACATGGAAAACAAAGCTGTGATACGATTGGGTTACCATAAATCATAATAGAAAATGCGGAATGGAAGAGACAGAGCGAGAGTGTGAGAGAGGGAGATAGAGGGAGACAGGGAGACAGCGAGAGAGTAGGGGAGAGAGGTAGAGGGAGAGACAAGTTCAGAATTGGATGGCAAAATACATGAATTCGTTTGGCTTTTAACGCCAGCGGCGAAAGTAAAGGAGGAAGCACTGATACTAAGCTACACACTCACACACACACATACACGCTTACACGCACACACACACAGGCGCAAGTTAAGTGTTGAGCGTGGAAACGCATAATGCGCAGATCAAACACTTTTCACTTGCTACAGGCGTCGACAGCGAAAGCAGTAAACAAATTGGCATTATTTAGACTGTACAGATACTCTGTACGGAAGTGTCTTAAGCTGAAGCTTAAATAACTGTGTGCACTTATCGATAATTATCGATTGCTGAAAAACAAGGTATCGATAATAATCGATATAACGATGTAATCGATGTGTTCCGATAGATGAAAACTTACTGTGTATGCTAAAGATATGATTAATAAGTAATCGATAACTATATGTTATCGTTGCTACATATGATATAGAACTTAGTCGATCAAAGTGTCCATTTCATGTTACCCTGATCTGAAGCTATGCAAGCCTTATATAAACGCAATAGATAGGTACCCTGGGATATGCAATTTTTAAGATGATAGTTTTCAAATATTTCCTGTTTCCTTCGTCTAATATATCCATCCCGAGCACTGAACTCTTTACGGGGTAAACTTGTATATACTTAAGCAGAGGCGAAAGCAAACTTAAATGTAAATCGCGGAGCACTGGCTCAGACAATTAAGGGGAGGAAAAAGGTTCATTAGGTAAGTTCACGCATTCATATTAAATACGTGTCTATCTCCTGCGAATCGTGTTATGATATTAGAGAGAACTAGTTCCATGCCACATACGAAGTAAAGGGGATAGCGCGGCAGGAGATGGGGGCAGCTGAGTTGGCAGCTATGTTGAATCATTCGGGATATCGTTCAATTGAACGAGTCAGTGAAACGAACCACTAAGCTAGTTCAGTGAACTTTAATGCCCATGGTCGATTCGTGTAGTTCACTAACAGATTCATACACTATACATTTAAATCGTGCTTGTAAGGCAAAGAACCAATTCCAAGTCAGTTCGTTCAATTGAATCGGAAATTAACTACTGAGCTAGTTCAGTTATCTATGAACAGCAGAGCTATGTGAAGTGCAGCTTCCATGATCAATTCGTTTGCTTCACTTACAAGCTCATAGTTCTAGCTGAACTAGTTCCATTTGATTTGATAGGGGCTAAAGATCATGTGTTGCATCAGTTCGCAGCTCGTTCAATTAAGTTCGCTTAATTGTATAATGAACTATTGAGCTAGTTCACTGATGGTTCATTTATTCATCGTGATCGAAAATGTTCAGTTAGTTCAGCACTTTGAACTAGCCAATCAAATTGAACTGAACTAGTTCATTCAATGGACCCACTTATGGCAACTCTCATTTCAATTTTTCACACAACATCAATTGTTTCGACTTTTGCCACAGCCACAGAACATGAAATGCTGCATACCCTTAGGCGCACACAGCATATGCCAATGTGTGTGTGTGTGTGTGTGTGTGTGTGTGTGTGTGTGTGTGTGTGTGTGTTTGCATGAGTTTGCTTGACTTCACAGACTGGCACTTGCGGGAATCGACAATAAAGCATCAGGCAGGCAGCCAGGCAGCCAGGCAGCTTGCGTGTGACAACTACATTGACAGGACACCGATTTCAATAAGAAACAGCCGAGGCAAAGAGGGAGTCGAAGAGGGAGATAGTGAGGGAGAGAGCGGGGAGGGGAAGGGGAGAGTGTGGTTGTGTGGAATGCTAAGCTCGCTAACAACTCAAACAATACAACAATGAAAAACTGAGAAATAAAACGAAAAGGAAAACACTCAACATTCGAATACCCTTTCAAGAGAAGATAAAGAAAGAGTAGGGAAGAGAAGAGAAGTATAAAGAGTAAAGATAAGAAACAAACTACAATAAAGGAGAGTAGAGAGATGTGGAACTTAAAAGAAGCTAAGAGAAAAGTGAGTGAGAGATAGAGAGAAGAGAGAAAAGAAAAGGTAGAGAAGATCATTTACAGAGGAGAGTGCACAGTGAAGATATGAGAGAAGGTATATATATATATATATGTACATATATGATATATATACCTAGTCAACTATATGCTCCATGCCGACGAAGCACTACATAAGGCCTGAGTAGTTTATAATACCCTGCTCTAGGGCATTTGAGCAAATAAACAGGCAGCGAGGCAAATGGCAAACTGACAACTAAAAGCGTCGGCGAGACAGGTACCACGTGCTCGTGTTCGTGTGTGCGTGGGCGTAGGCGTGGGCGTGAGCGTGTGCGTGTGCGTGTGCAAGAACCTTACCCAGTTTGAATGTCCCTGTCCGAGTCCATGTCGAAGTCCTTCTGCTTGACTAATGTTTGCTCAGCACGCAGTTGTCGGCTTTTTGGCTTTGCCGATATGCGCCTCGCATTTCCTCAGCTTTCACTTTGAGTGCTTAGCTCGATGTGAAGTTAAGCTGAATACACACGCACACACATACACACACAGAGGGAGGGAGAGAGAGAGACATATTACAATTTGTGCTGTTCGATTTGTCGAGCTACTCGTCTTTGCATCTTCAATTTGCAATTTGAATTTGTGTTTATTTAGCTACATCCACTTTTCATACTGGTTCACTAAGTGTCAAAGCGAGTATATTGGTTGTGAAGAGAAAGGAAGAGCAGAGATGCGAGATGAAAGAAGATAGAAGATGGAAGATGGAAGATGTAAGAAAAAAGAGAAGAGATAGATAGATAAATAGAGATCGAGAGGTCGAGATAGAAGATGAAAGACGAAAGTTGAAAGATTAACCATGAAAGATAAAAGAAAAGGTTGAAAGACTAAAGACTAAAGATGGAAGATCAAATGGGCTAAGATATTTGTGTCTGCCCTCTCATCTGATGGAGTGTTTAGCTTTCACGTAAACAGCCGCTACAGGCGAGGCCAGCCAAGTCCACACAGTTTTAGAGGTTGCCCTCAGCTTTTGCAGTTGCATACGAGCGAGTATCGTGCAGTCGGCCACGATCGGCTGCAACAGTCCAACTTGCTACCTGGCAACACTTAAGTGGAGGAAGAAGAGGCTGTGCTACACACTGCTAAGTGGGCTTCGCTTGCACTCAGAGATCCCTACATAACAAGCCAGTGTTGCAAAACGTTAGGCAACGCAAATGAACGAATTTATCCAAACAGTTGACCTGTATTTATGGCACTTGTTAAGTTGGCTGCACTTCAAGAAAATAAACAATTCAAGCAAAGTCTTCACTTCATTCAATTCAATGGGCAGCTAAGTTATGAAGGTTCCCAGAAAATACGATACGATTTATCAAGCTCAGCGGAAGTGAGAAGAGAGAGCGAGAGCAAGAGAGAGAAACACAGAGAGAAGGGTGGAGAGATGCGGAGGCAATAGCGTGTGCTAATGATAACTAGCTGTTAATTTATCTTGCTGTTAAACACAACGAAAAACCTTTTGCTCTTCATTTTTTATGAAATGCCATTTGTCCAAAACCCAGAGAGCGGGAGAGTGTGTGGGTGAGAGGCTTTAACTATATGAAATGTTTGTTCGCTTCGGTTCGGACATCTTTTTCACTTTGGCGCTGTCATTTATCTTTTTTCAACTTCATCTTTTTGCTTTTTATTATCCTTGTTCATCCTGTTTGTTGTCATTTTGTCGTTGCTCGTCATTTTTCGTTTGATTTAATCATAATTCTTTCAGTGGCCCAGCCACCTCCTGCCCAACCTCCCCATCTCCTAGCCATGGCACAGGATATCAGAATCGAAATCTAATTTCGAAATCGAGCTAACATTGAACCACATGAGGTTGTTTCTCATACCCTGCCGTAGCGAGGAAATAGGGTATATTGGTTATGCTTATCTGTATCTGTAGCTGTATTAGTACGTATATCTGTATCTGTATCTGTATTTGTATCTGTATCTGTATCTGTGTTTGTTATTTGTAGCTCTTTTACAGAGTATCGTGCAGTTAGTTACACACAACTGCAACTTTCGAGCTCTCTAAACTGCATTACATAATATTTTTTGGTTCAATTCGATTTCCTTCCGGTTTGGCAAGATTGGAGAGAGTGGAAGGGAGGGGCTAAGGGGGTCGGTCACAATCTTAACTTGAAAAAAATTTTTGGTGCGGCATCATCGCGACCAAATTAGGCAAAAACCACTTCGAATCGTACAATTTATTAACTAGCTCAAAAAAATGGACTCTGGCAATGATATCATAGCAGACGCCAACGCAAAAATAACGACGACTGGTCGAGCTGGCTGGCTGACTGTCTGGCTGTCTGGCTGGCTGACTGACTGGCTGGCTGACTGGCTGGCTGGTCTGCTGCGCTATGCTTTCTAGACAGCCTTGACTTTGGCCTTCTCCAGTTGCTTAGATTTGACTGCAAGTAAGAATTTGGATTAGTCATGCTTTCAGCTGCTGCAACTGGATTTGACTCACCTGTGATCAGAGCATCTGCATCCGTGGGCGCTGGCGGCAATTCTGAAATTTCGCTCACAGCTCGAATGATTGTCGAATTGCCGCTGGCTTGAGCCTCCGCCCTTTGTTGCACCTGTTTACGCAGCTTGCGCAGGTAGGCGGCCTTGTATTCGTCGCTCGGTTTGCCGCCCAGGCCATAGCTGACTTCCAGCACGGTCAACGGTATGACAGTTGACGAAATGGCAACTAGATCTGCAATGTTTATTAACCATATTAAAAGTAAAAGGTCATATTATAAGTCGAATAATTTTACCCGCTTCGTATTTCTCATCTGGATTGCGTTTATATAGCATGGGCGTGGGCGAAGCGAATGCTAATAAAAATATACACAGAAGCGTTATTTCCAGTTTCATCTTGCACGTCTGTTGCACTCAGCCGCTGTTGGTAAACTAAAAGCGTCTGCGCAAGTTGCTTAACAGATTTGTTTAAAAACCCAGATAAACGCTTATTTTCGTTATTTGGCGCCTTACTTGAATGATATCTTTAAAATAGTGGCCTGTTTTGTAGCAGACAGCTTTTGTCCACTCTAGCCTAATGCGTAGCTATCGATATTTATTTATGGAACAGTGCTCGAATGCTTATATGCCAGCATATGCTTCTAAGTACACATGAATCATTGGCTTAAATATTTTTTTATTTAAATGTAAATACCAATTTATCGTATATTTGTTTTATAGCATTTAGCATTTCTATAGCGATGTCTTTCAAGCTATCTGCATAAACTACGTTGCTGCACACTTATCGCTTAGTTGAATGGTGTATATATATCGATAGGCTATCGTCGTAGCCTCCACAATCAATCGGTATTTCGCAGTGTTTTGTTTTTTAATGCTCATTGAAAAGTAATTTGCCATCATCAAATGCAAATGGAACGGTGACATAAATGAGTTTCACAAACCAAAACGTGGCTATATAGATAAAAACGCGGCGCGTAGCGGAACGCAGTAGAATAGTGTAGCAAAAAAGAGAGAACAATTTCAACAATTATAAAGACGCAAACAAAGACGCTGGTCAAAAGCATGAGTTGAAACTGGACAAGCACACACTCATATATATACACACACACACATATACGCGCGCAAGCAAGCCAGCACACACTGCGAGAAAGAGCTTGTGCTAGAAAGGGAGAGAAATAGAGAAACAAAAAGATAATTTCAAGGCAACACTGCGTAACGCAGGGGAAAAGAAACTTCAAATAAGGTGACAATTTGGGCGACGACGACGACGACAATAATAATTGCTCTGGTCTATACTAACAGTTAACGGAAGGAGCGCAACCACGTGTATATGTAGATACATGCATTTATGTATGTGTGTGGATGCATATGTATTTGCTTGTATGCTAACTGGATATTATTGGGCTGCAATGCAATAGCAATAGCTGTGACACTTGATTCAACATAACAGTAATAACTAACGGGAGCGCATTCGCCAATTCGCATTTCATACTCATCTTCGCAAAGGCAGCGCAATATAAACAGCAACCAACAGCTGCAGACGCATCAACATCAACAGTTACACCAACAACAACAACATGAGCACAGTGTTTATTAACTCACGGAAGAGCCCAAATGTGCTAAAGAAACAGGGCACAGACCAATGGGTCAAACTAAATGTGGGTGGCACCTATTTTCTAACCACCAAAACAACGCTCTCCCGTGACCCCAATTCCTTTCTGTCGCGCCTTATACAAGAGGACTGCGATTTGATATCAGATCGGGTGAGTTTACATACATAAATACACAAACACACACAAACGATATGCGATATATATACAATAGACACAAACACACACATGTATACACAAAAACGTGAATGAAGCTCCTTGCGCCTAAAAATTAATTTATTAATTTATTTATAGTAAGCATATGTGTATAAAATTATTATTTTTTTTTTTAATTTATATATTATTTTCATTTAGTATACTTTTTTATTCTCAAAGGATTTTGAGAAGTTAGTCAGGGCTATGTTAGCGAGTTTTCACTGTAGTTACATGCATAAACAGAACAATGCATCGATATATTCGTATGTGTGCGTAGCGGCCATTGCGCTCATGGCTGCCAGCTATGTTATAATTGTCCAAAAATTGTAAGCCAAAGTATAAACACGTATGCAAGTATGCGAACACATACACACATAAACAGCAGGCTCAACATACAGTTTATTCTGCGAACAATTACAGTTCCAACAAGAACAACGACAGCAGCCGCTAAAGCAGCAGCCAGGGCCACACCGAACTCCACTCGACGTTATCCCTTTATACTCGGCTGCATAGATGAGTGGAGAGAGTATCGTGACACGCATAGTTCAATAGTTGCAAAAGTTTGTAATCAAAAAAATTTGCAATTGCAGATTACTTCTAAATCAGTAAAGATAAGATACTATTTTTCTATTTGTCGTGCAAATAAACAAAATAAATTTATTTATTTCCTTTACTGATTTGAATCACAAATTAGATATTTATACAAATGTGATTTATGGTATATATATGAATATACAATATATATGAATATAGAATATTTGACATATGTATATACATATACATACGATGTTTTTTCTGGGTTTACTATATACTATCGAATATGCTATCTCTAGTTCTAGATTTCGTATTCGTGTTTGCGTTCGTATTTTACAAGGCTGCACTTGCATTGGCTGAGCTTTCTGTCACACACACACACACTCACGCAAACGCCTTAGTTATGCATGTGTATGCATGTTACTGTTGTATCCGAAACCAGTTTTTTTGTTTTCTTTTCTGCTTTATTTATATTCTGTTGCTGTTGTTGCCCGAGTCCTTGGCTTGCTGGGGGGTGTGGCCAACGCACGTTAAGCACAATTTTCTACATATATATGTGTATCGCCCACATAAATCTAGACATGTTTTTAGCTATCATAAATATATGAAAATATATATGTGGATAATCTATAACATATGTACCATGCCTGAATTATATTTACGATTTTCGAAATTTATAAACAAAGCGATTCGAATTGTTTGACCATTATTAATGTCGAAATGTGTTCGCTGCCTCTGCCGCTGCTTCAGCCGTTGTCTTTGTTGGTGCGTTTGCCTTTTGCTTTTGCCCCTGGTTGTGCCTTTAGTCTTTGGCTATGCATTTATTTTCTTCATATTTGCTTCGTCGTCTGCCTCTGACTTTGGCTTTGCCCCTGTCTTTGTCTTTAGGCCTTTGCTCCTGCCTCTGCCTTTGATTCTTTTTAAATCTTTAAATCTGTCTCTACTTTTGCCATTGCTTCTGCTATTGGCTCTGCCTCTGTCTCTGCTTATAGTTTTCAATAAAAAAGTTTGCCCGTTTGTTTATTTTTGTTTGATTGTTTTTACTTGCTCGCTTTTGTTATTGATTAAATTTTTTCCCCTATCCTCCGCCTCTGCTTCCGCCCGCTACGCCAAAACTGATGCCAAGGCAGCCCGAAGCTCAGTGCCCGCCAATTAAGGCACCCACATGCCATACGTGTGTACATACATATATATATGTATTTATATATATAAATATATCGGGCAGTCGGGCTGGTACCTAGATGAACGGTCTGATGAGTCTGTTTTGGGCGATGTGGCCGTTTAAATTGATTGAAGAACCGGAAAACATATATTGCTGACCGACTAGCAGATACCCTTTAATCAGCGTTAACCTAACGCATCTCTTTACTGAATAAGATGTTTGTAGCGCATGTAAAATACTATATAGATCGATGTTGAAAGATAATATGGAATAATAATTATAAGCGATATACATATGCATATGCTTCGATTGCATAAAAAAATATTGTAAATATTAATAGTAATCGATATGTATACGAACTATGTTAATGTTGATATTATGAACACATAATATTCGCTATAAATTTCGAAATCTACTTTTCACTTTTATATACCCTATAGATTTCATAAAACTTGTTTAGCAATTCGAATTGCGTTTAATAAGACAATCAACAATCGCATATACTCCATTACATACATGCATAGGTGTCCGGGGTATATGAAAACAAAATTCACATAGCTCAAAAGCAGACAGACTAACTGGCTATCTAACTGTTCGTCTGCCTGTCTGTCTGTCTGTCCGTCTGGTAACTCTTGTGTAAATCATTTACAATAATAAATGACTACAATGCATAGCGAAAGGCCATTACTGTATATGTCTGTATCACTATATGAGTTATGCCGGAATATATAATGGCAATTTGAGTACAAAACAACTAGGAATGGTACACAGTCTGCAATGCTCGACTAGCAGATATCCTTTACCCAAGATGTGTATATACTAATGTGTATATACTTTATATACTTATCAGATTTTAACTCTAGCTTTTGAGAGGGCAGACATTGATAGTTTTTATATATACACATTTTATGGGTTCAACTGATTCCTATTAAAACCAATATAATCCTTTTCGAATGGTTGTCTACAGGGTAAACATAATCCTTTCACCTGCTCATTGCATTGGCTTTGTCTGCCTTGCATTTCGAATGGTCACATAGGCTTAACTTCTTGACACATTTCCAATTAGACATATATGTATATTTATATATATATATATATGTAGTATATAGATATGTATGTGTAGAATATATTGGACTAATTGGTTTCGACTTTTCCGAATTATAGGATGAGACAGGCGCATATTTGATTGACAGAGATCCAAAGTATTTTGCGCCTGTGCTCAATTATTTACGCCACGGAAAACTCGTTTTGGACGGCGTCTCCGAGGAGGGAGTACTGGAGGAGGCTGAGTTCTACAATGTGACGCAGCTAATTGCGCTGCTCAAGGAGTGCATCAGCCATAGAGATCAGGTGAGTGCCTGTCTATCCGTCCAAAGTCACGTTTGTAATTGGATTTTATTTTTGCTTTTAATCGCAGCGTCCACATGCGGACAAAAAGCGCGTCTATCGTGTGCTGCAATGTCGCGAACAGGAATTAACACAGGTAATAACCATGGCAACCCACTGTTAAACAGGTGTAATAATAATCTTCAACTTTCCTCTGTTTCAGATGATCTCCACGCTTTCGGATGGCTGGCGGTTTGAGCAGCTGATAAGCGTTGGCATGCAATACTCAAACTATGGCCCATTCGAAAATAATGAGTTCCTTTGCGTTGTCTCCAAAGAATGCGGCTCGACAGCAGGACGTGAATTGGAGCTGAATGATCGCGCCAAGGTTCTGCAGCAGAAGGGTTCGCGAATGTAAGCAAACGTGGATTCTATTAGAGAAGAATACAAAGAGAGCTAGAGAGAGAGAGGGAGATAGAATTGTATTTGCATATATATATACATACATCTATATCTAAGTAGATAAATCAAGCCATTAACCATAACATTGCTTAATTAACCATTTAACAGCTGATTAGTTGATAATGCTTACTATCTGTTCGCAATGGATTTCCCATAGAAAAAAGCTTGATATGTATCAAGAGCCACTATGCTCATTGGCTGATTTGCTGACTAACTGATAAGACGCAAGAGTTTGACATGCATCAACAGCAGCCCCACCGATTCTATCTTGTAATTGTCACATTCAAATAAGTTACACAAAAGTAACTGCTGTAGGTGGATGCATGTAGATGTCGTGTATGTGTATGTATGTATTTAAATTCAGCTTTGCCTTGTTTAATTATATACATTATATATACAACCCCTAAAATGCACAATGTGTTCGATTGGACGGGTAACGAAAGTCAGCTGCTGAACTAGTTCAGTGATCTGTGAACCATAGAATTCAGTCATTCATAAACGAATGATATTTTATGTATTCGTTCTATTGTGTTCAACAGCTCTGTTCATCAATCGATGATGATCGACTGAATAACTAAGCTAATTGAAAATCGTTTATGAACGATTCAAGCAACTTAATTAACTGAACGATATGAAAAATATGAATGTGAACGAACTATTCAGCGAATTAAACTAGTTGAGCGAATCCAACGAATTCAGCAAACTGGTCTAATTTGTTAAATTAAAGTAGTGAAGCATATTGAATTAATATTGTTCATCAAATGGATGTTGTTTATCAAGTGGTACTTATTCAGCAGATTGAACTAGCTCATCAGATAGAACTAATTTAGCATATTGAGCTAATTTAGCAAATTTAACTGTTATTTGCAACTCAATGTTAAGACACACACTCTCACACACACAGATAAGACTAAGAACTTTAATATGACGACATAAGTCAAATATATATCTTTGTAATCTGTATATATATGATACTTTTATAACTAGAATCCTAATTTGAAAGACCAATAGCTAATGCATTTATGTACGTGCAATTCGTAGATATACCTATTGTAATAGGACTGTAGTTATATAGATAAATCAAATTGAAATGATTTCTGGTTTAGATATATATATATATATATATATATATATATACATATGTATAGTAAAGATTTTGTTATATCCAATTTAATTTTTGACTACCTAATAATTGATGTCAACCTCTTTCTCTCTCTCTTTATTTTCTTTTTTCTCTCTCCCCCACTCTTACTTTATCTTTTCTCTTTCTCTCTCTCTCTCTCTCTCTGTTTAATTGCAGTCTTGGAATTTAAAGTGCTTTTAGAGCATAGAGTGCTCATACCATCCAAAATAACACAAAATGTAACTCCCATCAGCAAACACCAAGCTTACTTAATATAACAAAGACAAGCCACAAACATCATGAACAACAACAACAACAACAACAACAACAGAAGCAGCAAAAACAACAAATATGTACATCAAATAAAAAAAACTAAATATTAAGAAAGAGCCAAACAAATACTGCAACAAAGATCCTTTTTGGCGACGATTGGAGAATTAAAGTTAAAAGTCATGCAGTCAATCATTCAATCATTAACTTGAATGCATCAATCAATTAAAGCGCCATTAATCAAGCAGACCTATAACAGAAACGAATTGAAAGAATCCTATTTGACAGTAGTTGGAGTAACACAACTAATCAGTTCAATCATTAGTCAATCAGTTCAATCATTATTATTAAAACATTAGCAACAGAATTTGAAAAGCAGCCTAACTAAGCATAAATTCTCGTTGCCAGCAATTGGGAAGATTGAAAAGCCAACAATCATTTGCCTAAACACATCAATCATTAAGTCAAACAGCCATCAATCAGCAAATGCTAAAATTAGCCAAAACTCATAAATCAACAAGGTCAACAGTCTGTCCATCATTCACATCAATCAATCAAAGAGTCATCCATCGAGACAGCCCAGCTAAAATTAGCTTTGACAGCAATTGGAAAGACAACAAAAACGAACAAGCCCTTATTTAAAAACATCAATGAATCAATGAAGCATTCAATCACCCATGATTTTGCTCTTCTGTAAATAATTTTTCAAAATTATTCAATTGTGCAACTAAATTGAGTCATGCATTTTTATGATTTCGCACTCTTTTTGTTGCAACTTTTGATTGAACTCCATTTTATTTATTTTGACATTGATTGACGAAGGTTTTTTGTGTGTGAATTTGAATGTGAATGCAATAATAGAATATTTTAAAGCAAATCGATGGAACAGCGCGGTGACAGTCTAAGCTTGAATGATGCACACACAGAGAGCGCTCTTCGAAGGAAACATACACATACGCGCACCCACACACACATATACACACACACACACTCAGACTAACACGCAAACATAGTTGACTTTCATTTTGGCTTCCCTTTTGCCTTCCGCATTTGAAGAGTGCCTAAAATACGCTTAAAACATGAAATCGAAAACTAAACAGAAAAAGTTGAAGCACAAATAACAGAAAAAACACCGCCAACATTTGCTTAAATTTAATAGCTAAGTGAATAACAATATCTAAATATAATATATATGTATATCTATACATATATACGGATCGGATTCAGTATCCCAAGAAACTAGAAGCTAGAAACTAGTTTGACTTATAGCTGATGGATGGAACCACTTGAACATGAACACCAAATTCTCAAAATGCAATGTTATATGTATATAATGTATAATTATATATATAAAATATATGGGCTATATATATAGATATGAAATAGAGGACTATATACACACACACACGTACACCTATATGTATATAGATATACATATATAATTTAAGTATAACAAACTAATTTGTACTTCTAGATATTTAGCTGTGGTTTTTTTGTTTTCATTGCGCTAACAATAGCGAAATATTAAAACTATATATATAGATCTAAATATATGTTATATATACTTATATATATAGCGATATATATATATATATATATATATATATACGAGTGCATTATCATATTTTGAAATTCTTGTACTTTCAAAGCAAAATTAATTTCAAATCAAAACCTATGCAAGAACATTGTAGTCGAATATATGCTATAGCAAATAATGAAATTTGTTCAAAATTGAGCATGTTCTGGTATCCACATTGATATACCCTGTAGAATTGCCAGGTTTTATAGATCTATGGAAATGCAACAGAATTTGGAACTGCAAAAATTGAAGATCACTTAGATCAGGCTGTAGGCGCAAGTATATATATATTTCACATTTGAAGTCTCACTTGACACACTTGACACTTGGAACTAGTTATGGCTCATGCAAATGAACTGTTCTATTTTCTCAGTTTTCATGCTCGCTCAGGTAGTGTAAATGCAAGTATATTCGTCTCTCCTTTGAGTATGTGAATACTCTTAGCCTTTACTATACGGCAATTGGCATTTAGTTATAGTCTGATATTTAGATGTTTTAGACTAGTTATTGAAGCTAGACTTTGGAAATTTAATATATATATATATACTCGCATAAACCATCACCTTAAGAGCGAGGCAAAAGTTTTTAATATATGCCTTGTAGTCGTGACTAATCGATATACTCTGTTTTTGGAGCTTGAACAAGTATTGCTTTCAAATTGTACATTTGACTATATATTATATATATATATATATATATATATATATATATATATATATATATATATATATATAAAGGGGGAGGGGGGTAACGTCAAAAGGACATGCGTAACATTGTTATCGTATATGAATATCGATATACATAGACATATATATATATATATATATATATATATATAGTTGAGTGTTCAATATGTTTAACCTTCTTTGAAACTAAGTTCGAGCTGCATTTACTTATATATATATATATATATATATATATATATATATATATATATATATATATATACTAGATTGGAGTGCAGCCCCATTAAAAACCTAGAGCTTTATTTAACTAGCAAAGAAACATGTAAAAAAAGGATAATAGGAAAACAAAAAACCATTTTTAATCACGACTGAATTTATGTGAATTTGCACTAAAACAAAACAAAATAAAATATATAAAAATAACATTATATATATTATATATATATATAAATATATATATATAGATATATAGATATATATATATATGTATATATATATACGTATATATATATATACATATATATATATATAAATTTTTAATGAAAAAGTAAAAAGAAAGCGAATTTCGTAATGTCGAAAATGCAATTTTTTGTAAACATTTTGAATTAATTTTAATATATATGATAGCTATAACCAGACTCGGTGTAAGCTTGGAAAACTATATATATATATATATATATATATATATATATATATATATATGTATGTCTGGAAAATCAAAAATATATAGAGTTTGAAATTAAGTTAATTCAGCAAACAATGCAATATGAGCGACATGATCTTAGTTCAACATGAATGTATTACACAAGCACACACACACACGCATACACACATACACACATACAACCATACACACATACACACATACACACATACACACATACACACATACACACACACCCTTACACACTCACATATATACACACAAATACACATAGACGCGGTCAATGCATATGTGGACTGTTCTCCCATTTTCATGTGCATAGATTAACTACTTTCACACACACACACACAGACAGAGACATACTTATATGTGTGTGGCCATGCTTTGGCGAGCTTCACTGTACTTGCTAGAACAGTAACAATAACAACTTATATAATCATCAAGAGACGTCTATATGTAGCCATTGGCAGGAACAGCAAAAAAAAAACAAATATTTCAATAAATTTAATGATAACTTTTTCTACAAAAAATAATGAAAATCGTGTTGGATTTTTTATAAAACTCAAATAAATTTTCAATCCGGGTAAAAATGAGAATTCCGGGTATAATGTCAAGCCCAGATTTTGGATATCTATGGTGTCGGGTATCTCCTAGATGGAAACTTCCGACTTAATACTTTTCTGAATTAGAGAAAAAAGAGAAAGAAAAAACGAAAAAGAGGGAGATAGAGACAAAGCGTGGGGGAGAGAGAGAGAAAGAGTATGAGTATGAGTATGACTAAAGTAGGCTTTCTATACTGAGGCAATATGTAAATTGTTTATTATGCAGTTCATCAAGCTTCGAAGCTTTCAGCAGAACTTAAATGTAAGCTATGGAAAATGCTGTCCTTGCCAAAGTTTGTGCTGAGCTTAAAAGACAAAGCTTAATATATAGCTTTAGCTTAGCTTAAGCTTTAAGCTTTTAAAAACTTGTTTTCAAGTTTTGAACCAATAGAGCTTCTAGTCAATAAAAAAAGCCAAGTGTCCGCTAAAAGCTTACTCGAGATATGGAATATTATAGAACCTCATATATATCTATATATATTCTGCAGCTGTAGTGAGCCACTAACGAATCAATAATATACCAAACCATGATATTCTGTAAGAATATTTTCATTGCTCTCCTCGAGCGTATGGTCCATGTTTTATATATTATTTAGTAGTCTCAAGATCTGCCTCTGCATCCCAGGTAACAATTTAATTAAGTTTATTAGCTCCCAGTATGATCGATTCCATAAAGTAAATGTAGTCTCAATCAGTCTGGTGAGTTGAGTCCGACCTGAGGCCATCTGTTCGATTGTATGAATGCAGCGAGCTCTAGAAATTGAACAGCCCGATAATTGCAATTTGTAATATATATTTATGTCTTCCCGATATAGTACAAGCTTATAATTCCTTTCCGATAAGTCGATCAATTTTTTATATGTATATGGAAAGACTATTAGGAGACTATATGTATAAAGCCTACATACAGATATTATAATGAACACCAGTAGGCTAGTAGATACCCTATCCTATGTGACCTTTATATACAGTTTCATTGCTCAAAAAGTTCAATGAGAGTGAACGAATTTGGTGTGGGAAACGTATTAAATGTTGAGCCAAGGCAGCCAAAGTTCAATTTCCTTCGGTTCATTTTCTTATTTGGCAGCAGAAGGGCGAGGGAGGTAATGGATGAGAGGAGGGTAGAGAAGAGAAGAGGTAGGCGTGGCGTATTGATTAGAATTCGAGCCATGGCAAACTTATGCAAAGTAAAAAGATATGTTCAGAGTTGCGTGAGCTTCAAAGCTCATATGATATTCATTGGCAAATGCACAGACAACATAGCGACGAGTGTGTGTGTGGATGTGTGTGTGGGTGTGGGTGTGGGTGTGTGATGTGTGCTTGTATACAAGTTAACACATAACATTTAATATAGGGTATTTCATAAGTTTATAACCAACCCTCGCTATCGCGTGTTTCGTAAGTTAAGAAACAGCCCTCGCAATTGCGACACTGCATACTTTGTATCAGCGCGCTATAACTGCAATGGTCAGCGGCGGTAACCAGATACTTTTGTTTACTGCAAGAGTTTCCGTTATTGCCTAAGATTGCTGAGTCGGCTTGCCGACCATGACATTGTGGTGTGATGCGAGTTTTGGCTTAGCTTAAGTGAAATATTCTATGTAGCTAAAAATCAGTTTTGCATTGAAGTTTGAAGAATAAACCCGCACTACTCCGGCACACCGCCGTAATCAAATTGTTATATTTCTGATCATTGCTGAGCCACAAGGCCAGTTAATAGAAAAGGG